TTTTCGTTATTTACCCTAAGTTCGGTTTGTTGTTGTTGTGTTTGTGTTCTTTTTTCTGTTTTGTAATTGACCCTAAATTGTATACTAGATAATGATGTGAATACAGTAGAACCTCGATAAAGTAATACTCGATAAATTAATAACCTCACTTAAATAATAGTTTCTCTCGGTCCCGACTCGGTCAGAACATGCTAAATTATTAACTCGATAATGTAATAATTCGCTAAATTAATAAAATTTTCCTAGTCACCACTGTATTAATTAATTTATAGAGGTTTACCTGCATAATAAAAATATATCTTTGAAAATTTGAAACTTTAAATACATTAATTTAAACTGAAGTCTGAAGCTAACATGCAATTAAAACTGAAAATATATGTGAGAAATAAAACGCAAAAAAAAAATTGAAAGTTTGAGCAATAATTGTTGTCCCACAGCTAGCTGTGTGCAATTTACAAAAGTAAAAGTGGGGGCATGGAAATTGATCAATCACAAAACTTTTGTGTCTTTGTTCATCTTTATTTCTGCATATTTTCTCCACCTTATCAATTATTGGTTCATTCTATATACCATCACAAAGGAATAATATACACACATATAATTCACAAAGAAAAAAGGAAAAAAAAAAACTCATGGCGGATGCTATCGTTTCCGTTGTGTTGGAGCGCATTGCAGCTCTCGTGGAAGAGAAGATCCGAGACGAAGTAAATTTGGTGAGAGGAGTTAAGAAGGAGGTTCTCAAACTTTCCGTTGATCTGAACACAGTCAGAAACGTGTTGGAAGATGCGGAGAAGAAGGGTTATAAGGAAAAGAGCATCAAAGATTGGCTGACGTGGCTCGAAAACACGACCTATGAAATGGATGACGTGTTGGACGAATGGAACTACTCCATTCTCAAGTTTCAGATCGAACAATCGTCGTCTGATCATGCTGATGTTGTTCCTCCTAATAAGTGCACGGTACGCTTTTGCATCCCTTGCTCGTGTTTATGTTTCAAGAAAGTTTCTGTACGTCGTGGAATTGCCTTGAAGATAAAACAAGTGAAAGAACGGCTTGATCTGATTTTGGCGGAGAAAGATCGGTTTCATTTTGATGAGATCACGTCACAGCCATCTGATCGTGAATCTTGGCGAGGTCAAACTACTTCTGTCATCGACAAAGATGAAGTTTATGGCCGAGATTTAGAGAGAGAAGCTCTGGTAAGCAAACTTGTGGGTGAAGGTGGTAGTAGCGAAGAAGGGTTAATAGGAGGCATCCGCGTTGTATCTATAGTGGGTGTGGGTGGCCTTGGGAAGACAACTCTTGCTCAACTAGCTTATAACGATAGTCGAGTAATGAATTGTTTTGAGTTAAGAATTTGGATATCTGTTTCAGATCCGTTTAACGAGGTTGAGATTGCGAAAGGGATTGTGGCAAGTGTGGAAAAGTTGGATGAACCCCCAAAGACCAACCAATTGGAAATGCTACTGCAACGTCTAAAAGAGTCTATTTCAGGGAAAAAGTTTCTTCTTGTTATGGATGATGTTTGGACAGAAGACGATACCAAGTGGAAACCCCTGAAAAACACTCTCAAAAGTGGTGGAACGGGTAGCAAAGTTTTGGTGACAACTAGAAACGAAAGGGTTGCAATAATGATGATGGGAGAGTTTATAAAGAATGATCAGATGATCCATCGTTTAGGAGTTCTCAATGATGAAGATTGTTGGTCATTGTTACGTCGGATTGCCCTTTGTGGTAAGAACAAGGATGAATGTGAAGAATTTGAGAACACGGGTAAGAAGATAACAAAGAAGTGCAATGGATTGCCGCTTGCAGCAAAGACTTTGGGAAGTCTCTTACGTTTCAAGAATACATTGGAAGAGTGGGAGAGCGTGTTGAATAGTGAAATATGGGAGTTGGAGGAAGTAGAAGATGACCTCTTTCGCCATTTGTTTCTGAGTTACAACGAGTTGTCCCCAACATTGAAGCGTTGCTTCTCGTATTGTGCCGTCTTTCCTAAAGATACCAGAATTAATGTGGATGAGCTAATAACAAGATGGATGGCAATGGGTTACCTAGGATCGAATGCTGATGATGACTGGAAAGTTAGAGGGAGAGGGTACTTTGATAAGTTAGCAATGCGTTCTCTGTTTCAAGACTTTTATATGAAAGATGACGATATAAGGATAGAATCGTTTATGATGCATGACATTGTACATGATTTCGCTGAATTCCTGAGGAAGAATGTGGGATCAAGAATGAAGAACACAACTTGCAAAGACTGTAGCCATTTGTTAGTTTCCCGAGTCGAAAAATATCGTAGCTTGTGTCAGTGCGAAGAAGTTCTTGATTCCACATGTTTGTGATTGCCTGGCAAGTGTGACGTTGCTCGATTTAAGTTGCAGTGGCTTGCAAGCCATTCCGAAAGAAATAGAAAAATGATTCACTTGAAGTGGTTGAACTTGAGTCATAATGAATTTGTTGGTGATGATCTGAAGACCATTTGTAAGTGTATAACTTGCAATTTCTTTGGGTGGGCTTGTGCGGGCTACAAGAAATTCCGTTGGAGATTGGGAATTTGAGTGAGTTGATACACTTGGATTTGTACGGGAATAGAGGACTGAGAGAGTTGCCGGAGAGCCTATGCAATTTGAGTAAATTAGAAAGTTTGGATGTAAATTGGTGTTCTCGTCTGTGTGGACTTCCACAAGGGATCCACATGATGAAGAAGCTCAAACATTTGTATAATAAAGGTACTGATTCTCTGAAGCAATATCCACAAGGAATAGCCGAATTAACGAGTCTAGTCACATTGGATAAAGTCTTCCTTTGTGATGGGAGCCAGGTGGGGTGGTTGAAGAATTTAAACCGACTTAGCGGGAAAGCCGCCCTCGTGGATTGAAATAAGCAGTTGTTGTGATTCAGTAGAGAATGCTCGTAAGGCGGAGTTGGGGAAAAAGATGCACATTCAAGAACTGAGAATATATTTGTATAGATCAACAACAACTGCATCATCATCATCATCAACATCGGTTTCTAATGAAGTACTAGATGCTCTTCACCCACATCCAAACCTCCAACACCTGACTATTGAGGGTTATAATGGCTCCCGACTTCCAGGATGGATTGTGTCCCCCCTCAACCAACTCACATCTATTGAGCTGAACGATTGTGCAATTCTTGTGTCGCTGCCGCTGCTGGGTAAGCTACC